AGATAGATAGATAGATAGATAGATAGATAGATAGATAGATAGATAGATAGATGGACGGATGGACAGACAGACAGACAGACAGACAGGAAAGAAAGAGAGGGAGGGAGAGAGAGAGAGAGGAGAGAAGAGATGTGAGGGAGAGAAGAAATTGGACGTTAGCTTAAGGATTAACAGCAGCAGATGGATATCTGTATTTTATCCTGCCTCTAAGCTTTCATTTTTATATTGCTACAGAGAATATTGGCCAAGTTAGACAGTCTCAGTATGGCTGTGTTATGATTTTATAGTGGAGTTAGATTTTTCATTTTCAGTATCTGTCATTACTGATGACCCAAACAAAACAAGGACCACATAATACCATATTGATTACTATTTTCCCATATTAATGTACAGATGAAACTTTTATTTTACTTTTATTGTATGCTAAATTTTTGCTTCACTTTTCTTCAGAAGCAGATATATCCTTAATATGTAACATAATCATATACCCTAATTATAAGAATGGTAAGTATATGTAGTAAATGAAACTCCAGGAGAACAAACTATTCCACCTCCTCAAATGCTTTTTAATCTCAAAAGAAAATAGTTTTCTAATTTATTTTTCTTGTAAACTAATGGTGTCTAAGAGAAATTGTAATTTTGGTAGTAATTATATTCCAAAAATCTTAGAATCAATTCCCACACCCGGTGTGAGATGCTGGTATATTACACAAAGGATTATATATCTAATTAACTGGAGAGTCTTCTCTGTGCTTAAGGCTCTTAATTTGCAGTTTTCCAAGAGAGGAACAAGCCCTGTCAATCAGTGGCTTTACTTATGTTGTGTCCCTCAATGAGGTTCAGTACTTTGTGACTCTATGGCATCAATCAAAATGAACAGAGATACAGAATACTTCCACAATATTCGCCCAGTTAAAAAATACTGCACTTAAGCCCCATTATGCCTAATGTAGGATAATATTAAACCTCAGAGAAGGACTCAAACGCTATGTCATATGAGAATGATATTCAATCTGTATTCACTAAACACACATGGACTGTGAAGCAGGATCATATGATAAGTCCCACTCTGCCATTAGCATATTGAGAACTCTGTGCATGTACAGTTGTAAATATCTGCGGTTGTACAAGATATGCGTTTGGTAGGTGGAGCTTATAGTACTTCATTCTTGGTTTAAAAGGAAGGATGCATTGTCCCAAGATGCAGATTTGCATTATAGATAACATTTTTGTTTCAAATGATCAAAAAGTCTAAGAACTCATTCAAAATTTTCATTTGTTATTAACAAGTGGAAAGTGTCCCTTGCAGTCTCATAGTGTATCTGTCAAATTTTCTTCTAGATGACATTCCTATATCTTCTCAGCTCATATTGCCAACAGTTACAAATGGCAATAGTTACCAAAACACTGAGTGCACAATGGGGAACTGATACACTGTTTTTAACAATAAAGATGATCAGAAAATAGAGCCAGCTTACTACACTGGCCATACATTTAACACAGTGTAAATAGAGAATAATTCTTTTTCTTTCTTCCTGATGTCTTTCTTCTGTCATTAAATAGGGTCACTGAAGCTAAAAAGTTCACTTCAGAGGATGTATTTGCTAATATTTATATCATTGGTAGATTGAACATTTCCCAGAAATGTATTTTCTTCTGTTTCAATTTTGTACATTAATGTGTCTGCATATGTTTTTGTTTCCTTCAGGCTGTACTATGGAGGTACAAGTTTTCCCAGCTTAAAGGGTCTTCAGATGATGGCAAGAGCAAAATCAAATTTCTATTCCAAAATCCAGATACTAAGCAAATTGAAGCAAAGGTAAAGGCAAGAACTGAATTCCTTTCCCATTATCAGATGGATGGTAACTAAATAACAGGAAGTACATATTATAATCCTTTTCTAACCATGTTCCAATTTGTCTGAGTCCTTCCAATCTGTCTATAGCATTCTGTGCTGTGTCCAGAACTGGCATAGCAGTAGACTGCGGCTAACTAAGAGGAGGAAGGCCAGATTGGCATAGTGGTTAAGGCATCAGGCTAGAAACTGGGAGACTGTGAGTTCTACTCCTGCCTTCAGCATGAAGCCAGCTGGGTGACCTTGGGCCATTCACTCTCTCTCAGCCCTAGGAAGCAGGCAAGGGCAAACCACTTTCAAAAATGTTCCAAGAAAACTGCAGGGACTTGTCCAGGTGGTTACTGGGAGTGAAGACCAACTCAAAGGCGTGCACACACATAGAACTAAAAGTAATGTAGGAGCAGAATACCAAAAAAAAAAAAAAAAAGTGAAAAAACCAGAATGTTAATTTGTTTCTCATTTAAAATGCGAAAATTGTTAGGGGACAATGATGGTACTTTCATTGTGTCATCACAACATGGGAGAATGAACCTTGGAGGAAGAATCTCATAAAGCCCAATTTTATTGTTCCCCCAACTCAGTAGGGATAAATGGGATAAAGACTACATTTCAAAAATTAGTAATTTTCAGGCTGTAATCCTGAGAAGTATCTCAGTGGATTATATTGTAGAGTATATGTATTAGTCTCCTATTTTGACTTGTAAGGATCAAAATATGGATGTGCTTGAGGAACAGCCTGGCAAAGAAATGAAAAAAAAAAAAAAGCTCTATGTACCATTTCCTGATATTTTATACTTCTGATACACAAAGTCTTGAACATGCACACTTTAAAATCCATTAGAATTTTATGATCAGAAATTTTCTGAGATTGTGCAGATTTTTAAAAACAAGTAAAATACACATATGCGAACTAAAATCATCACATAGTATCCTTTTTTATTTAACTATCTTTTCCCAATGATTTGGAAATATAAAACAATTATAGTTATAAATGTATACTTTAAAACTATAAAAACTTTGAGTTTAATAATCCAAACATAAAGAAAGTCACTTTGCGGTAAGACAACAAATGGTTTAGTTTCACAGTGAACAACAGAATTGGATATATTATGAGTATATTTGATTCACTTAAGCCAGTGTTGTCCAAACTTGGCCACTTCAAGATGAGTGGACTTCAACTCCCAGAATTCCCCAGCCAGCATGGAAGTTGAAGTCCACTCATCTTAAAGTGGCCAAGTTTGGACAACACTGACTTAAGTCTTTGTGGATATGTCTCTGCAACTGCTGCTAGGTGCTTTTATCACAATATACGATAAAGAAATGGTCTTGTCTCTCATACCTGACCTTTTTGCTTTCACTTTCAGGAGTTGGAATTTTCAAATTTATTTGCAGTTCTGCATTGCATCCACTCATTCTTTGCAGCCAAAGTGGCATGTTTGGACCCACTCTATGTTGGCAGTCAAGCCACAACGGCCACTACTTCTGCTTCTGTTGCTTCTGCTGCTGCTGCTACTACTGCGACATCATCTGGCAGTTGCAAATTAAAATATATGACTTGATAACTCCCAGTCCGGCACTTCTATCCTTCCACAAGTATGTAAGACTGCTGTATAAATATTTATCAGCCTATTCCTTGGAGAACAGCAAGCATTAGAATTGACTCAAGACATGTGGCAGCTTTCTGCAGAGTATGGTCACATGGGATCATAAATTAAATCTCAGTTTTACAAAGCAGCAGTACACAATGAAGTTGAAAATCCTGTTGTGGAACAATATCTTTTTACTATAATTTGATTGTGCTTTGACAACATTCAAAGAAAAAGAAACAAAAATAACTGATACATCACTATGCTTAAGCATTTAATACAATTTTCAAATCTCAATAATAGTAGAGAAGTATCGTTTCCTTGTTTCCAAATGTTTTTATATGACAATTTACTCAGCTCTGGATTTGAAGTAACATTCTCTTGATAGACTATAAATGAAAGAATGACAAGCAAGAGGCATAGAGCATGTAGCAACAAGGAATTAACCATGGAAAGATGCTACTATATCTCCTTAAAAAAAAGAAAGCACCTTAAGTACCATTGCAAATGTGTGTCATTTGGAACTACATTCATGGTCATTTTCATTTTGCTTTCAAGCCACTATTGTAATGATCAACATATAGCCATATTAGGCCAACAGTTTTAAAATGAAACATAAATATATTGAAGCCATCCACAGTTGGAACCTACAATATAAGCCAGTTAAACTTTGTGTTCGCAGAGAGCAGAAAAGGCCAGGGCATGGGGGGAGAGAGGAACTTACAAAAGTCTGTTCCTCCAACACAACTGTTGCATAAAAAGAAAATGTTGGAATGGTTGTAGCATTTGTCCAAATGGCCCAATATACTTCATTTTTGTCTGTGTAAATGTTGGATCACAATGGGTGGAACAGTGTGTGGAGTTGTCATTTTCTGGTTTTCCCTGGGTTTAAGGTGGTTAGACTTTTCTTTGTTTTTTGTTTTTGTTTCATTTTAAGTGTTTCCTATAGCCAGTTTTCAGCCATCACAATTGAAGGAGCCCAGGGCTCACAGTTTACAAATCCTACTGTACATGAACTCTTTTCATACTATAGCAAGTTATGGTGTCCCCTGACATTCAGTCTAAAGGAACACGGCCAATTACAACATCTAGCTTTCTCAAACTTAGAACTTGATTCTGAAGTAGTTCTATTGAACTATTAGAACTAAAATAGTAGTGACTTAAAATTCTTGGCCTTAAATCAGGTTGCTTTGATCTGGGAACTCTTAATATACAAGGACAGCAACTTCCAAACATAGGTATCTATTATAAATCACACTGACATCACATGCATCATGACATCATTGTGCAAATGACATAGATTATACTGATACAAATTGCATAGTGTATGTCACTTGCATAATGACATCATAAAACATGAGCTGTCTCTTGTGTTCCTGTGTACACCCCTGCTTCCAAAATTTCCAGGAGGTGCTATCTCAATACATATGGATACACCAGTTTAGGGAAGATTGCCTTAAATCCACAAAATATTGTATTTCTAGATACAGATTTGATTTAGTGGTAAAATCTAGCATTCAGAGTGGTTTTAATGTGACTTAATTAGAAGATAGTGTTAAATTATGTCTCCTATTATTACATTTTATAAAGAAGTGTCTTATAATCTGCAAGGTTTTGTTCTCAATTCCCATATATGCTTATTTACAATCAAATTTTGCACAAGGTTTCATTTTTAATTGCAATTTTCATATTGCCTACCAAAAAACAACCACCACCAAGAAAGGGGACTTATTTACACTTCTGTAGTTTAACTAACAGCTGTCAAAAATGACCCTACAGTAAATAAGATTTTTTCTCCTCCCAATATTTATGATAAATTTGAGAAGTTCTAGAAAAACCTACGATGGAATTCTTATCATCCCAACATTGTGTATAGGACCAATCCAAAGGCATGATAATAATCCCTTTCCTATTGTGTTCTGTCAGGGGTATCATCCTTGGGCATGATATTTATAGATTGACTTTAATGTACTCCTTATATGTGAAATATCAGGTGATTGGGAATGTTGGAAAAGCATGATTCTGAGTACGCACGTAAGACCTCTTTGCTCACAAAGTAAGGAGGACTGTGTAGATCCTTCAAAAGAGGTGCTTTATAACATGTGGTAGGGAAAGGCAAGGCCAGGTGACTGTTCCTACATTCAGGGATAGCTGAAAGCAGCTTAGGGAACCTGAAAAAAAGACATGGCTGCTTTAATTATTCAAAAAAGAGATCCTCCTTCATCTCCCATAGTTGAAAGTGCTTATTTCAATATATTTGCATAGTCTGAGTAAGAAGAGTTCCTCTCCGACAATAAAGTGAATGGATATACATTAGGAGAGCCAGCCACTGTGATATAACCTTTTCGGTGTGCACCAATTACACACACACAAAAATATCTGAAAGGAGTTATATACTTTTCATGCCTTTTAATTATTTTATGATGAATGTTGAGATAAAATTGTAAATTTTGAACTATTATATGAGAGTCAATAACATGCTGAAGTTCCAAAGAACAAGTATGATTTTTTTTCATTAAATAGCTTAGTTTTTTGCTGGGCATCATCACGCACAAATTTAGGGTGCATAAACAAGATTTAAATCAGTGTAACCAAATTTGATCCATAGTTCCCTATTGCCATTAAACAAAAAGTGCACAGAGAAGATTAAGTTCTATCCAGAGCACTCTAAGTCTTTATTTTGTTTTATTTTCACCCAAAGTTGGTTCATCTCCCACTTCTCTTGCCCCTTCATGATTTACTACAAGAAATTGGGATGTTGTTTTCCACAATCTGTGTGCCAACTTCTGCACAAAGCCACAGGAGTTCTTTAGATTGATGCACATATTAGTATGCATGGACAAAAACAGTTTAAATGTATTCAGTTCACAAAATTGGCTACCTAGAAAATTGCAACTCTGAATTTTCATCAAATGTAAAAACAGAGCACAAATATAATATAATGTAGAATGGTAGCCTGTTGTTTTAAAAGGTTTACAATATTTTTATTTTTTTATAATCCAATTATTTCTAGCTATTGTTAAATTAGTATGGAAGGAAGAAATATATTTTAACTCCAAATGAAAAATCACCAACATTTCATATTATAGATAGCCAAGCATGTCTAGCAGATGGAACTGGATCCCTGGAAAAAATAATGTGTTACCCAAACAATAACTGGCACTGATCTGCATGCTTTTCAGAAATTGGGAAGACAACATTTCCACAATTTCCGCATAACATGGAAGATATCATTTTGGGGATCCAAGTAGATAGATTTCCAAGGCCACTCTCCTATCCTGCTCCATTAAATATATCAAAACAGGCCAAAATGTTTGAAGAAAATGCATTGGGCTTTTAAAGATAGGCAGAATTACTGGTAGTAAATAAACAAAATAATATATTTTATAGCCAGGAAACTATATCATGGTTCTTAGATATATAGTAGAATGAGAGTTCTATTAAACACCCAGGAATATTATAAAATTTTGCCAGGATATTATTTTGCAATGTAACCTGTGATATATCAAAATATTCTCCTCGTACATGTATCACACTGACACAAAGAAAGAGAGGTGGCTTATGATATGAGAAAACAAAATCAAGATTCACTAGCATCTACTATTTCATGCCAATGTAGTCATTTGTAGAAGGTTTACCAAAGCATTTAGTGAAACTACTGTATATTGTTTACAATTACAAATTCATGATAGTGTATGAGACATGATTTGTTAGTCATTGGCTCTGCCCATGTACGTGGTTTATCTAAACCAGCAAATCAATATTTTAATTCATTTTATAGATTCACAACTCCTGCCTTTGGGGGAAAAAAATCTAAATATTTATAATTGGATCCAATAAATATACTGACTTTAGTAAAAACAGTGAAAAGCCAAGTATAGTGCTAAAGCATGATTATTTTACAAAACAGTTTCATTTATATTAAAGTTGTAGCTCATATAAGAATTAATTAATGAGAATTATCTTGATTGTGCCTTAAAAATACCACTCTTTACATGCTACACAATTATAGTATAATTGCAATATATTAATTGCTTATAGTTGTGACCAGTATAACTGGTCATATGTCCCAAATTGACTATTATGAAATTATGTTAAAAGCCATAAAATAACATGACATTCAAATAGATCTATTATAGAATTAAGGGATTATGCAGTCATGCTTCATTCACTTAATGATTATATAATTTGTTGATTATGAAACATGCCTGAAAAATATAGAATTATCATATAAAATTATTATATTTAAATACGTTGATGGGGAAAATGGATATGTGATAAAAAGTCCCTTCATTATTATTTTAACTGGTCATGTTTCATTAATTTTTATAAAAATGAAGATGCATTACACCAATAATCAGTAAAAGCATATTTGGTGTCATATCATATGCAATGATGAAATTTTTAAAAAGGTGAAAAAAATAATTTCATATATGTAGTTGAATTACTCATAGGTCTTATTACCAAGCTATTATCTGCTTTCCAGCAGACACATCCTTTGGTAGATCTCCTCTACCAGGGAGATAGATTATAAGCATTAAATTTGAGATTAACTATGTAGAAGGTATGTGCTCAGCCCTGCTCAGTTCAGTAGTAATTTTAACCCTCATTTTATGAAAAAATCTATTTATGGTATGTTTGTTACAAAAGTGCTTTGATTTTATGTATTGTTTACAATGTGGTACCCAGATTATCCTAAATATATGGTAAACATAGTAATCTGCAATTGGTGTGAAAGTGCTGAACACATTTGTAAAAATTATCATTTATATAGACAAATACTAAAATTGTTCTGACATTTACCCAGAGGGAAAGTTATAAAACAGAGCTAAATTTCAGAGTCACAGATACAAATATTTATATCCCATTACGGATATGGAATTAAACTGCAATCCTAAGGTCTGTGTTAAGGCTCCAGCTTGATCTCTAATGTTCCCCATGACTTGGCTTACACTTTTTATAAGTTGCAGATATGTATTTAAATTCGAACTACAAATAACAATGGACGTTTATATCCTATAAGATCTAAGCAGTTACATAAGGGGGAGAGGACTG